AATAATAACGCCTACTATTCTTGCTCGGTCTGTAATAGCGTAATGGAACGTGCTGATGACGTATCACGTCTGCGCAAACAGGGTGCGTGGGTAGGCAAATACATACGTTGACAGGCAGGTAGGACAGCCTATCGTAGCCCTTGGACCGAGGGATATGATTGGATGAACATTCCCTCCACAGATGATATAATTTATATAATAATGCATAAAAATAAATTTACATTTACATTTAGTTATTTTGCAGACGCTTTTATCCAAAGCGACTTACAATTGAGGGATACATAAAGTGATTCTTCTTAAAGAGGCAAACAGATACAAGAAGTGCCTGTAATACCAAGTTTCTAGACATTGTTCAAATAAGTACACGCTAGAAAGAGAAGGAATAAATAAAGAGATAGATTTTTTTTTATTTTTATGATGAAGTCAAGTAGCTTCGAAAGAGATGAGTTTTCAGCTGTCGCTTGAAAATTGTCAGGGATTCAGAATTCCGGATAGGGGTGGGAAGATCGTTCCACCAGCCAGAAATGGTGAACGAGAATGTACATTTAGACCACTTAACTTAATGATTGGTATCAGGATGTGAAGAGACATTCAACCAGCATAACAAAAAAAAATTTTTTTGAACCAAATCGTGCCTTTAAACAGTAAGCACTTCAATCTCCAAGTATATTACATAAAGAAAACACGTGGAGAAGCACATTAGTCGTTTAAAACTACACGAATAATGAAAGCAGATGTTATGTCTAGTTAGAAACTAGAATTCCTGAAAATATTTAGAGTTTTTTTAGACTTGCATAACATGTTATGTTTAAGGAATAAATTTACTTAGAATAATTAAGTAGATGAATTCAACTCAATAAAGCTGCAAGCTGTTTCCTTATTTTACAGTGGACCTCATCACCATTCATTCTTGTTTTCTTTTTTACTTTCCTAACTGTTACAGTTTTATTTCTTGTCCAGCAATCATGACAAAATACACTACAAACCATACTTCAATTAAAAAGAGAATGAGCATATACAAAAAGAGAAACAAAGCCAGCAAGCAGGCAGACAGTGATTACTGGGTATATAAGAGACAGAAACATACAGTATGCAAAAAGGGCCCTGCGGTAAGAAAGATGGAAGGAAACCATCTCTTTTCCTAATTCTATCTCTCTGTGTGTAGTAAGGTCAGAGGGTTTGGGTCAGTGAATGGAGTTCAGAGTGAAAGATGTGGTCATCCTGATGAGAGGTTTAAGGCAGCAGTGGTTCAGCTATATAGTATAGTAGTTTCAGCATAGATGTCAGATCACAGCACTCTCTGCAGCTGAACACAGCTTTGCTTACTCTGTGCCACTCAAACTAACACCACACATTATATCGCTCTCACTATTGCAGTCTAGCTGTCAGAGGAAAATTTGTATCTGATTGTTAAGTCGAATACTGCTACTCAGTTTCAAGTGAGAATACTATCTCAACAGCTGTTTATGAGCACTATTCATTTATAGCAAACCTTTAAACCCGGGATCTCCAACCCTGTTCATGGAGTGACACCATCCTGTAGATTTCAGCTCCAACCACAATCATACACATCTGAAAATCTGAACCTGCAGCTAATCAAGCTGTTCGTTGTTTCTTGATAATTACAGGCAGGTGTGTTGGAGCAGGATTGGAACTCAGCTCTCCTGGAGCAGGGTTGAAGATCCCTGCTTTAAGTTGTTGTTGTTTTTTTTACTTGTGGTGTACACTAGTCATCAGGATCACAGTGTCCTGGACGCCAATATTTTAACGGTTTTGGAAAGATGAATCTCTGTCTGACAAACTGAGATTTTGCTATGGAGATTTTTTGGTAGTATTACAGCACGAGTGAGCACCGTTTGCGTTTGAGATCTGGAAACTGTAACGTCATATCAGACTTAACTATCGGATAAAATAAAAAAGAATTGAACAGAATAAAATAGAATAGAAAAAGAGGAATATTTACTGCCAAACAAACAGTGACAAACAATTGCACTACCATTCAAAACTTCGTGGGTTGGTACGATTTTTTTAATCTCTCCTGCTTACCAACGCTGCATTTGATAAAAAAAAATACTGTTAAAAACAATAATATTGTGAGATATAATTCTAATTTAAAAATAAGTTTCAGTCTTCAATATCACATGATCTAACATTCCGATTTGGTGCTCAAGAAAAATTTCTTATCAGTGTTGAAAAGAGTTTTTGTGGAAAGGGTCATGCATTTTTTTGTATTCTTTGATTACTATTTTATTTGCATTTATTTTAACTAGAAATCATTTGTAACATTATAAATGTCTTTACTGTGACTTTTGGCAAATTTAATGTATCTTTGCTGAAGAAACGAAGTAATTAAATCTTTCTGACCTCAAACTTTTTAATGGTAGTGCATGTTATACTGTATAATACACTAAAATACACTATACTAATGCTATAAAGTATATAACAGCAATCAAACTTTAGATGACTATAGATGATAGCTGTTAGAAAGAAGATCTTGTTTAATTGTAATGTCTTGGTTGTGACTGACCTTTATTGATCATGTGTTTCAGTATTTTGTTTGTTAGGGTGTCATGCGTCAACTGCATAATGACTGTGTAAAATACACTGTTTGGGAACGAGATGCTAAGCACCTTATCATGCGCCCTTTCATTAACTCTGAGAGTCTCCTTTGCTCTTTACTTTATGTAAACACATGTTGACAAAAAGAATGTCTGACTCAGTCTCTGGCAGCGTGGGACTTCCGGATAAATGGAGTCTTGATTAGTTCAGTCACCTCGGATTAGTCTGGAGGTGCAGTGCAAAAATCAATTTTTATACTTTATCAATGTCTTTCACAAAGATCACAGACGCAGCAGCCAATCACAATCAGCCAGAGAGGAAACTGCTCAATGAAGTCCAATGACAAAAGAGCTGAAGAGGATGAGTCACTGACTACCAGCTGATCTTTCATTGTGTTAGATGAAATAAAATAAAAAAAGATAAATATCAGAAGCTACTGAGGATTCTGATGGCTGCCATCATGCACTGCTGTGCAATGGATAGTAGGGTCGAGGGCCTTAGCAAGCATTGTGTATTCCTAGCTTCTTGTGCTTACTTTGCTAAGAAAGTCTTCTAGGAATGTCTATGTAAAGTAAACGCAATCAATCAGTATGTATGCATATCCCAAAATAGTAAACAACTATTTTCACTGACCTCCTGGAAATTTTGTGTTTTATTATAAGATCAATGTTATGTAGCAGACTTACTCTGGTTGTGTTTTGTTGTTTTCAATGAAGACACTGCGGGTAGAGGAGGTCTCAGGATGTTTTATTCTGAAGAAACAGGTCTGCAGAAACACACAGAGCACAATGAAACTTTTTTGGGATACACCTCTCTCCCCTTCAGTCGGCACTCTCGTTTGAAGAGCGAGAGAAAGCACAACCGACCCCGTCAGCAGCATAAGTGCTTCTCAAGATCTTAATTGACTCAATTAACAGTTACAAAACATAAGACAAATAAGATAAATTAAATAGAGTAATAAATAAATAAAATAAGTCACAAAATACATGTCACCACCATATGGCATATGAAATAATATAAAATACAGTTTCCTCACCGCTTACTCGCATCAGTGAATAAATTCAAAATGTCAAAAGTTACAGCTACACAGGCATCCTCAACTCTTCGTGCCTCCAAACCAAGAGTGCTACAAAAAGAAACAGAGAAACATCAGAGCTCTGTAACTAAACACACATGGAAAGCGATGATATGGTTACATTCATTTACACATCAATAGCTTGTTTGCCATTATTTTCGGCTGTTTTTGTTTACATTTTCAATCATCACTTTTTTTCTTTGATAAAAAGTTCTCTCATCTGATATATTAATTTCAACTGCTTCAGCATGTTATGTTTGCACTCTCGACAATGATGTCACTCTTCTGTGTTTCATTATTAAATGGATATAAAAATGCTGACGCTTCTACTTCTTGTTATTTTTATGTAGAGTGATAATTCAAAGCGAACTGCGATGACTCAGTGGTGCTGATGACAGAGAGTGTGGACCAGTTTAGGAGGCAAGGGCCTAGAAAAGAAAACGGTGCTGAGAGCAGGATCGATCGCTCACAAACACAGCGCTCTGTCTCCCCCTACCGTTCACTGCACATGACGGGTGCCACTAGAAAACTGGCCACATTTCTGTCAGTATTGATTGACAAACAAATAAAGAAAATGAATTGTGGGTAAATTAGTTTGTATTCACTAATCACTCTTTATATAAAATGACACCATACAGAACAATTTCACAGTATGCATAAACAGTAGGCTACTAAACAGTATGAACAGTTCCACACTACCTGAAAGGAAATGCATTATATTGGCCATATATTGTGTAATGCATAGCAGAGCATTTGTACAAGACAGTTACTTAGCTACATCACCAGAAATATCCAAAATACATGAAGTAATGCAATATTGCTAGAAATAAAATGTTTTTGAAATGAATTTTTAAAACACTTTTGGGTTTATCGCAATGTGAACGTGGTTTGAAAGCGTCTAAAGCAGCTCAGGCGGCTTGAAGCGACGATATAATATAGGTTGACTTAAATTACCATGGATAAAACATTAAACAAAATACCGTCATTTATTGAATACGTGAGCAAATCTATTTCCTGCTGTACTAACGATATCCCTGGCCCACGCCAGATGCACATTATTGTAACTTCACTCGACATGAGTTTCACTGAGTTTACATCCGGGGCTTTTCCCTAGGCAATGGGGGGCGCACTACAACCGTTCCTTAGGCAAAGTGAAATAAATTCGCCGCACCATTACATAAACTAGTTCTCTTCTTCTAAGTGTTCTTTCGCGCTTGGCAATAATCCTTTCGCCCCGGTTTGCGACAATATTCAATTAATTTCCAACGTGACGAATAATGTGTTCTGTTGGACGAGTTATTTCTTGCGTTATACGGCATGGTTTTGCTGTCCCATTATCTCTCTGCTGCGCGCATTGATACGCCGAGCGCAGAAGCTGGCGGTGAATGGGATGGAAGAAGAGTTCTTGTTTTGTATATCAGTTTCTGTCTTTTATGTATTTTTGGTTCAAATTCACGCGAACAAAGCGAAGATTCCTTCTGTTACACTGTTCAAAACTTTAGGGCGCTAAAGGGAGTAAATTCATCCGCGGGATAGGGTTTTAGTGGTGAAATGCTCGGCTGTTTGTAGATATATATTTAAATAATTGGTGAGTGTGTGTTTAAGTGTATGAAGATCGGGGTTTGACTGCTGGAGGAGTGTGTACGAGGGTAAGTGCACCTCGGTTTTTTCATCTTCATTTTGTGAACTTTTGGGAGCGGTGTCTTGGAACTCTTTTCGCGTTCTTTATGTGATTGTGTTGGTAGTAATTTGAGTGGATGTGAAAGCGCAGAGGTAGCGCAGGGGGGTTTTGTTCATTTCTCTTTATTGTAGGAGTTGCAGGAGAGAGAGTGCGGCTGCAGTCAACGAAACGTTATAACTTACAGCCGTTACACAATAACGCCTCGAATGGCACCGAAACACCCTATAAACGACACTTGGTTAGCAGAACTGCGTGAAAATGGATGAAATTGAGATTCCAGCGCGTGCCGTAGTTTTCACACCAAGCCATCAAACAGTCATGGGATGCCATTATAAATGCACTTTGCGCTTACGTTCACGTTCACAAGAGCAAGGGACGAGATCTCGAGCGATAAACATGATCGTGTGTGTGTGTGTGTGTGTGTGTGTGTGTCTGTACTCTTGATGTGTTGAGCTCGAGCAGCTCGCGCGGTGTTGAGCTACTATTATTGTTAAGAGCCGCTAGGGCGACAAGATGTGATCATGAAAGATTTTTTCCCAGTTCGTGTTCTCGGCGCCACGCCTTGACATATCAGCACAAACGCGAGTTTGCTGTAATAAAGTCTCCTTTACATCTTCTCTCTTTAATCTGTGAGGAAAGTTGTAGGCCCTGTGTAGTGAGTTTGATGTGTGATTGTGTGAGTATATAAAGTGATGGTGCTGTTTCCGGTGTGGATGCGCTGGAACGCTAATGCTGCTGCTGCTGCTGCTGATGCTGATGACCTTCTGAAGCTTTCAGATGGCGCTCGGTCCGCTTTAACGACCGGGCCGTCAAGAGCTGCTTTCTCACTCTCTCAGTGCGTTTCACAAAATTGTGTGTCTTTTTTGTATTAGTGCTGTTTTAGTGATTAGCTCAGCTGGTACTGAATAGCCGTATGGTTTCTCATTAAAATCACACCCTGTTTTTGATCATATTTTGAGCTTGAAATGGCTACATGTACCAAGTTATTAAAGAATACAGGATTCTCTTCTCTTCAGTTTCGCCATGTTTTATGCATGTGTAGCTGTGCTCTTCCATTATCAACTATGTTGACTGTACAGCCATTTTTTCCTTCTCCCCACCTGCTTTTTTCTGCGATGAATTCATCCTGTAAAATACTTGACGTTTCACCCATAAGGTGCAATTAACTCATTATTTATGTATGCATATCAAACAATCCAATTTCATGCTTTTGTTTGAAATATTGCTTTTATTTTTAGTTTCACAGTTATATATACACAGTTGTATATGTTGTATCAATAACATGTCAAATGCCAGCGTTTACCTCAATGTTAGTGCTCTTCTCACTGCATGCTGCCATCATGTTACTTTAACATAAAGATGGTGAGTGGATGCCAGAGTTTTTTATACCAAGTCACTTGACCTGAGTGGTTTCAGGGCCCCCTTTTCAGCATTTTTTCTCTCAGACATAAGGCCCACACATTCACTGCCCTCCCCCAAACTCTCAAATGTCTGTTTCCCCCAGGAAACAGAACCCATTTAAGAATTAAACTTGTCATAGATACTCACAAGTTGTATTCAGTTAAATTAAATATATGTTCATGCTCTCAGCAGTACAGTGACAATGTCCAATATAATATAACCATGAATGAATTTTCTCTCAGAGTAAATGTTTACCGCTAAAACGACACCCTAAAATTTGTGATAAATAATTGGATGTTAGTCCTCAAACATTATTGCAGTGTCTCAACTCTCAAGTTACTGGAATAGGCTCCGGCATCCATGGAGAATGGATGTTCTGAAGAGTTGGCTTCTAAACAGATAGACTAATTGATGGAGTGATGCAAAGGTTACAAAGACTTCATTAAATTCCAACCTGTCAGTTCCGACAATTTGGCTAATCCTACATCTCTCTTTCACCTCATCTCCATTTTGTTTTGAATATTTCTGCTCTATTTTAATAGAGTCCTGCAGTAATAATGTATTTTGACAAAAACCCAATAAGATTTTTCCGTTGGCTTTTGGATTATTGCAGAAAATAAGCTCTGTTAACAACAAAAGTTTCTCATAAATAAACTACTTATATGAATTTGAAGCCTAAATACAATTGGCAGCAGTAAAAAGCTAAACATAGGCTATACAGCTTCTGAATCTTTCGGTCTTAAAAAAAAAGATTAATGTGATGACATTTAATGTCCCAGACAACCTCTGTAGTCCCATTTAGCAATCGACTTTTTCAACACACCAAAACCCTTTAATAAAATCACTAGGGGCTATTACTGATGTATTTTGTTGTAGAATAAAATGAGACAATATCTTGAGTGTCAACCACAGAACTTACTTCAGGCATTTAATCAAAAATCCATTTAAACAAAACAAAACAAAAACATTTACTTGAATCGGATTGAACCGGAAGTGCAAAAATGCTAACATTTCAAGGTTGTGGGCTACAAAAATATATCATCCCTGCAGCACTCTATTAACACATATATTATTATATTAAGTATTCCATAAAAAATTAAAGCAATCCGTTCACCTTCATCATCATGAAGGATTATATCCTTAAGAAATGAAACATATAGCCTGCTGTGCATATATGAGTGAATTAAGTGTTAATTAAGCAATTCCATATGTAAGAGAAAACTGCTTTGAGTGGAGGCCTTGAAAGTTTGGTTAAATGTGTTTAGGTTCAAGTGCAAGCATAGGACAGAGGATGAGAAAGGGTGTATCGTGTTCCTTTTCTCTAAGTAGTTCTGAATTACTTCAGCCTGTTTACTGAGCCAACAGGTGAGGGTTTGGTGCACTAGTCTGATCAGGCAGGTGTGTGTGTGTGTGTGTGTGTGTGTGTGTGTGTGTGTGTGTGTGTGTGTGTGTGAGTGTTATGGTCACTTTGGCTGTTTGCCCTTACTGAATACAGAAGTCCCAGAAAATTGCCCTCTTTTGCTCTGCTGTTCTGCCGTGGACACTTAATGCAGGATCTGATATTCTTCATAGGAAAAATATAATACCTTTTGTGGGTTTCTAAGGTTCGTTATATCCATTTTTATATTCCTTTGCTTAAATACTGTCCTGGGTGCGCTAGTGTGATCAGGCGGGTGTGTGTGTGTGTGTGTGTGTGTGTGTGTGTGTGTGTGTGTGTGTGTGTGTGAGTGTTATGGTCACTTTGGCTGTTTGCCCTTACTGAATACAGAAGTCCCAGAAAATTGCCCTCTTTTGCTCTGCTGTTCTGCCGTGGACACTTAATGCAGGATCTGATATTCTTCATAGGAAAAATATAATACCTTTTGTGGGTTTCTAAGGTTCGTTATATCCATTTTTATATTCCTTTGCTTAAATACTGTCCTGAGGCAGATACATCAGTGACTGGTGCAACTACAGATAGAGTGAGAAGCTCTTAGTGTGTGGAGTGCCCATCTGGTAGTCTCTGCTTTCATTCCGATGAGAAGAGAGTGATGATCTGTGGCAGAGACAGAGACTGATTCTGTGACACACAAGTACAGAGAACAAAAAATAACAGCTCAGACAAACCAGAGAAAGCAGGAAGTGAGTGAATTTGCACTGGCATCATTTAATTCAACTCCAAAGACGTATAGAGACAGTCCACTTGTACATCTATGAATGAGGAGAAATTACAATGTTCAATAGTGCCTGCCATGGCATAATAGTCCTACAATTTTTGGCATTAAGGCATTAAGGCTGGGCGATATGACGATTTTATCGTATATCGATGATGTCTCGTAAGTATCGTGATGTCGATGTCAACAGTCAGGTAACAGACGATTATCGACATTATCGGAAAAAAATGACAAATGACAAACCTAGTAAGTTGCAAAAAATATTTTACATAGCCCCATAGTCACCATACAGGTCTTTTTGCATGCAAGAATGAAACTATTTAGTAGGAGGGTTGGGAATCGAAAATCTATTCCAATTTCGGAAATGAGATTAGATGCGTAAGTTCAGGAATCAAATTACTTGTTATAAAATTACATTTCGATTCTGCTTCTCGATTTCTGTATGCCCATTTATTGTGATTTCAAAAGATTCAACTGCAAGAAGACGAAATAGAACTCGCTTCTGCACTCGCGCGCTGTTTTCTGTGCTGCACACACACACACACACACACACAAAGCGCACGCACTAAAGCCGCCTCTCACTGGACTGAGCTCTCTTTCTCGCATTCTTACACATTCGAATGGACAAATACACACAGAATTATATCAAAATATCCCATAAATACAATCGGTTATGTCGTAAAGAGTGAACTTAAAGAGTTGAGAAAGAAAACAAGGGTGTATTGGATCCGTGCATTGACAGCAGCCGCTGCCGCCAGTCATTAATGTTAATCAAAGAATGAAAGAAAAGAAAATCCCTCACTGATCTTGACTAAATCCCTTTTGTAACCTCAGTTTACATTTGATTTGCCTGTTGTTCCCCGCTGACTACTGTAATGGCAACGTGCATCTGTTTATGCGATTATTTTGGAGATGCTTTCCAATATAATTTATTCTTATTTAGGGTGTAGGCCTATTCTATTTTGATCTGCAGGTTAATAAAAGTTAAACAGAAAAAAAGACAAATAGTAGCACTGCATGCGTTTCTGAATATTTATTTAAACAGACTGTATAATGATGAAAACCCACAAACACGAGTTATACATAAAATATGCAAATTCATTCTGCGCACATTTCAGTGCAATATTTTTAGAGATTTTTTAAACTGTGTATACAATATAATTATGTTTAATTAAGCTGAGATATAGCACTATACATTCTTAATTCATTTGCAACAAAACTATAAAGTTTTGTTGCAAACGTCTGACGACATTATAGTACTATATCTCAGCTCGCCCCTCAACATGCACGTGTTCGGAGTTTCGGCAGCCCAACACCGAATATTATATTGTGGCCGTTGTATTTTGATTCATAAAATAAAAATGATAAAAATTACAATACAAAAATGAAATTACCCTGCTTCTAAATAAATAAAGCAGTTATTTTTATTTCATTAAAAAAGGGCCAAAAGAGACCTCCGAGCTATAGGCTACCAGAAAGGGGAAAAAAAGAAAAGCTTTTGCTCAGAATTCGTTTTTAATCCCTGCATGATTTTAGTCATGTATGATAAATATCAAATAGCCTACGTTATAGCTTGACTACAAGTTTAAAAACAATGCTACAATTGTTATAATCAAGGAAATTAAACTTACCATCATGAAATGTGTCTACACACTGATACCAAAAAGAAAGAGAAACATTGGAAATATGCATATTTTATTCAAGACATTATTATATGACATCAACATGCATTTATCATTCTTACAATCCCCACCAGAATGTCCAACTTCACCATAATGACCTTAAAATTGGGTTTTATTATTTCTCCTCAACAGTTCTCCTCACAAAACGAAATTAATTTCAAACACAAATTTGATAAGAACAGAGTGGAAATTATTAGCAACACCAAAATAACAGCAAAGCTAATGTTTTCTGTTAGTTTAAGCACAAGCTAAGAAAAGTAAAACCAAACTTTGTGGCCATAATTAAGACCAAACTGAACATGGTGTGTGTTTATGGTGCATGTCGGCAATGTTGTCTCGGTGGGGGCGGGGCGTGGTGGAGGAGGGGCTTAGGTAGATGATATTATCGGATATCGCGATATTTTCAAAGGTGATTATTGATAAGATATTTTTGACATTTCGCCCGGCCCTAGGAGGCATTGCAACTCTCAACATGGCAGCTGTTAAATAAGCCAATTGCCTGTTTGTTTAGTATAGAACATACTTGTTATTGGCTGAAAAATACCCTTTTGAGTGAGTTGGCCTTAATAACCACAATTTATGATTATATTTCTGATTTGAATTATGTTAATGAAATATAGATTTCGGTCTTTCCCAATACAAGATAGTAAAGCTGGAAATAGCCTATATGACCACCAAGTGAACTGACTTGTCTTCAAGAGACTATGTTGCATCTGTTGCATGTAAATATGCTGACATTGTACTAGCTACTTATTTTTTTGCCCTGATTTACAGTCTGGAGAAGTTGATGCTAGTTACCGAATGTCAGAGCCAGTCTGCAGATTTGAGTTGACAGATTCCATAGAATATTGCGTAGTGTATGATGGTTACGCTTTAATTCCATCCAGTCTGAGGAGATCAAACATGCTTGATATTTTGAGCCGATTTTAGAACACATATTGTTTTCATTTAATAGCTTCTCCAAGCAACAGTGCACATGTTGCATGAATTTGTTGTGATCGGAACGACTTCAAAGTCTGGTAGTGTATGATCCTCAGTCGTTTAGTGTATGATGGACAGTTTTTCCTCTGGGACTATTACAAAGTTGGTAAGTATATGATGCCCAGTGTTTTAAAATCTGTTCCGATTTTAAAAGTCATGTAGTGTATTCCAGCCTTTAGATACATGCTTTTTAGGGGATAGTTTTTCATAGAAGCAGTTTGTAGTTCTTCCATTTCAGGAACCTTAATTGAAAGCAATAGTTCACTCAAAAATGATAACACTGTTAAAAAAACCCTCTCTGTCTGAAAAAAGCACACAGGTTTGGAACAACGTGAGGGTAATGATAACAGAATTGTTATTTTGGGGCTGAACTATTCCTTCAGCAAATAAAGAAGCATAGTTTTATTTTCCAGTAAGCCTCCAATTTGTGTGTCCTCTCAAGATAGGATTGAATCTTTGCATGCAGCCTAAATCTTTTTTCCACAAAGCTTCCATTTTATGTTGTTCCTGCTGATATCTCTTCTTCAATATTGTTCTGATGTAGATTTGTCACTCACAGAGCGCTGCTGTGTGTAAATGTGTGTGTGCTCCTTACCATCCTCTCTTGTCTATTCCAGCTCCACCCCCCACTCTGCCAGTTGGATGGTGTTCAAGACGGCAGACGTTGGGAAGGTATAGAATAAACCATTGTCCTAAGGGGGGTGCACACATTCTGACACAACTGTGATGGTCAGCTTTATGGTGTTTCATTGGCTAGCTAATTAACTGAAATGTTTTCCTGAACTACACAGTAATTATTACTCAAAACAGCATCGTAGCAACACTGAGGAGCTTACTTTACAACAGACTCTCAGAGGCTGGGAGAGACGGAAACAGTTAATGCATGCATCAGCATCATTTCCCCCAAAGAAGAATGACAGAGGGAGAGAACAGGATTGTGTATGTGCAAAAGAGCGCTGTTCAGTTTGATCCGTGGTGTTCAGGCAGGATTTGATGAGAGTAGTTCTGATTGAATCAGTACACAGAGATATATCCTACTCACACTGAGCAGATTTACGCACACTCGCACTAGCACACTAACAGATCTGTCATGGCATAGTCATGCACACTGTGAGACCTAAAAAACTTTTTTATTCGTAGTCATTCAATAACATCTCAATTAATGAAAGAATATCTCGCTCTCTTCCTCTTATTCGCCAGGCAGCTGTGTTGGGTTTTGGGAAGAAGAGATCGATGATGGAACTGCAAAATTTACAGGAAGCACTCAAAGTGGAAATCCAGATCCATCAGGTATCCCCACAGCCCTCCCCTCACACCATATGGATGGAGTGTGTAATTGTTGCGACTGCAGTACCCTCACCGTTCTCTAGAAGTCACTGCATCAGCATGTGTTTCCCACTCATGAGAATGCTAAAACTTTCTCTCTCTCCTTTGCAGAAACTCGTGAGCCAGATGAAGCAAGATCCACAGGTGCGTCTCCCTCACTGAACATTTCCGTTACTGTTTGATCGATACGCTCTCATATATCGGCCGCTGGACTAGTGTATCAGGGAGGAGTGTGTGTGTTCTTTGTACAGAATGCAGATCTGAAGCTGCAGCTCCGTGACCTGCAGGCCAAGATCACAGCGCTGAGTGAGCGGCAGGTGAGAGCTGCTCTCTGAGAGAACACCTGCTGCCGTATCAGTGTTCTCTATGAGCTACACGTGTGTCTTGATCAGTTCAATTACTTGGGGTCTGAAAGTCCTTGTGTGTCCCGAGAAAACAAGGCGAACTTGTTAGGTTATGAAACCTGTGTTGCATTTTGGCATTGTTTTGTGTCGTATTGTGCTGAACATTTGTGGTGTGATTTGTGCACTGTGGTTTTGTGTTGCCAAATGCACAATTTGCCAACACACACACATACGCACAAATCTATTCTCCCCCCTTTTATTTGACATTTCAATAACTGATGATTAATGTCTGGGGATGATTACGTGGCGTACTGTCCTTCGCTTGAGCTTACTGTACAGAACCCAAAGTTCTGTGGAGGAGATGGAGAAAAGATGCGTTGTAGATTGCACGCAGCGGTGAGGAATTTTAATTAGTGTCTCAAAGCTTTTAAAAGTAACAGAACAGAGCGGCTGCCATCAATAGGAGAAAAACACACACCTGAAATCATTCTGCAGAGAAAAATTAAGAAGAGAAACACAAGGTCAGCCCTATAATCACTGTGACTGTCATAAAGCTTCGGCATTCAGAAATTTACCAGCCTGCAGCGCTGTTTAATAAAGTGTGCTTTCTTCCTCGCTCGCACACATTCGGTGTCCGGTGGAATTCTCCCAGATCTAGGAGTGTGTGAGTCTAACAGATGGTGGAGGGAGCCTGTTAAAGCTGTAATCAGTTAGAGGACTGTGCTGGAGGGTTGTGTTCATATTCATTAATGTATCTGTCACTCTGTCTTCATTGGTTACAGAATCAACACATACTCAGCTGAACACAAACAAGCTGTATTGCACATTTGTAGCCTGCATTGAGTAAAGTCAGGCACTCTTACAGCCATCTGAAAGTTTTCATATCTCCCTCCTTCTGTCCTCACTTTATGATTGTTATGGATCCATACTCTTAATGTTCCTTTGTGTACAAATGCTCATGTGTATGTGTGTATGTGCAAGTTTTTTTGATGCCAAACTGTAACACAGACAGTAAATGGCTTCAAATAAATTGCATTTGAAGTACGTGAGGAATGATTGTGTTCACCATTTAGAATCACATTCTTTTTTTTTCTGAGTAGTGTTGCTTATTTGCACAGTTATAACTGAGCTCAATAAGTGTGTAAGTATGCAGATTGTTTATTTTTCATTCTTCTACATATGACTTCTATTTCTGTCTCGTTCATTGTAAGATGATTGGTAATCTGTAAAGAACCTACCACAGATGTCCCTAAAGCATTTCTATTTTGAAAATATTTTTGATAAAGAGTGTTTTAAGCATATTATGCAAATGTAGGGCTCAGTGTGTCCTTGTAAATGCTAATGGTCTAGGTCTTATTATGTGGGAATCTTTCTAAAATATAAAAAGATTTGATAGCATTATAAATATGAACAGATTAACATTTTTTAACCTTTAAAGGTGAATTTATGTTCTACTAGCAGAACCAAATAGAAATGTATAATTAATGGTGTTTTCTAACAAGTTAACCAAACACCCATCCATTTGTCATTGTTTAGACTCTTAAAGGGGAAAGTCCACTTAAAAAATAAACATTTATAAAAATACTTCCTTGTGCGGAACACAACAGATATTTTGAAGAATGTTTCAACTGTTTTTGTTCATACAATTAAAGTATAAAATAAGGTACAAACCAACTGAACTCATCGACTTAAATTATACAGAAAAGAAAAAAAAACACACTGAAGCAATCTTTAAAATATCTTCTTTTGTGTTCCACAGAAGAAAGTCATACAGGTTTAAAATGACAGGAGGGTGAGTGAATGATGACAGAATTTTCACTTCAAAGTGAATTATCCATTTCACATATATAAGGGTACCTTAATAATGGTCTAGAGAAGCAGAGTTTTAGACACAGTTTTCACATTTATTCAATATATCTTTCCCTAATTACTGAGGTTACGCTTGATTTGAAGAAGCATTCCTTTCAGCTGTGTACTGGACATAGTTCATAGTCACAACTGATGCTAATGGTAATATATAAATGTTATGCTAAATGCTAAATGTTCCTGTTATGCCGTAATCCATTTGTTTTTTTTAATAACTTTTAAGATGTTTTTGAAGGCAGAATATTGTTGGCCCCCTGCCTGAGAGAGAAAGAGACAAAGAGAGTGATGTTCAGCTGTAGGGACTCCATGTTCCCTCTTGCTGTCAGTGCAAATGGGCCCAAATCCAACATCACAAACTCTCTTATCAACAGCAGGCAGAAAGAGAGGGTGTGAGTGAGAGAGACTTCATTGCAGGTACGAGTGACAGAAAACAAAAAATGAACAGGCGCTTGTTCTCTCTTTCTCCCTCAGAAAAAGGTGGTGGAGCAGTTAAGGAGAGATCTGCTGGTGAAACAGGAAGATATGAAGCTGCAGACACTACAAGCCGATGGGCAAACGTCTACCTTGCTCATCACACAGACACAGACGCCTCTGCCTGCTGCCAGCCTCACTACTCCACAGGTACCTACACAAAACACAAGAAGCAATACTTCACTCTGTCAGGTACAGTAGGACTCCATACAGGACCCCTCTAAAGACAATGCCTTGTCTTTGCTGAACATTTAAAGGATTAATTCACACAAAACTAAAACTTCTGGCATTAGTTACTTGCTTTCATGTTGTTCCAAAACCATATGTCTGGCTTTCTATCTGTGAACAAAAAAAGGAATGAAGACCTTTGCTAGCAAGCTCCAAAAAGACACATCATAGAAGTATTGTAAAAAGATCCATATAGAAATATTATTCTGAGAAATTTTGGAATATTGTGTTGATTATGCTTTTCCATGCAGCTGGGCTAAGCAGGGGCACCTAAAAGTGGTCCGCGTGACTCCTCAAGCCATATTATAGCTTGGTGTGAAGATTGGGCTTAAAGTTTAATTTTGTTATCCACTTGATATCTACCCTTATTCTCTTTGGCATATTCATGAAAGTCAATGAGAGAAGAATTGGTTGTTTTGAGTCAGCGGTCTGAATGATTTATTCATGAATCAATCTGATCTTGTTTTTCAGACTTAATAGCGACGTTTACACACATCCAACATAGTAATTGCATTAATGGCTCAATTGGACTAAAAAACCTTCATGTAAACATATCAAATAATCAAACTGTTTTTTCAAAAAATACTTTGTGCACAGGCACAGTTTATATCTTAGGAATGTGTGTATGCTTATTTACGTCTATAAACAGGTCACTGGAGGAGACTGAATATTTACGCATTTAAGTATTTGCTAAAAATTCTAAAAGCTCTGACATATGTCAGCTTTCTTTTTATTTTTGAAGAGTGACCAGAATATTCTGCAGAGCATTATGTTCAGTAAGAAGACTTATGGAAGCCCATTCCGCCACAAGGTTATTGCGACTTTTTATCTCGCAATTCTGACTTTATTACAGGTAATTGCAAGTTTATATCTCTCAATTCTGAGAAAAAAAGACAGAATTGTGAGAGAAAACGTCGCAATTACCTTTTTTATTTTTTATTCAGTGGCGGAAACGGGCTTCCATACCTGACCTATAAAAGGAAAAAGTGAACACATTTACAACAGCGTATGTGTTTGTGACCCCGTAGAGCTCTGTGGCCCCTGTCATTGCTTCAAAGACTCTACCTCTGGTGCTGAGAGCTGCCACACCCACCTCTATCATCATGACACCAGCACCTACTATCACCGTGGTTACAACCCTTGGCAGCACACTCCTGGCAAGCCCTCCTAGCTCAGATCCTCAGAAGTCCCCAGTAAACTTCCAACCAGTCATCCAAACAACCAATCAGGGAGCAGAGCCGGTGCGAGTCATACCCAATAGCACCGTCGTTGTAAGTTTTTCTCGAGTTGTTTTGACTCTCGTTATAAAACAAGAAGAGTTTTGTTTTCTTATTCCCGCTTGTTTTGCAAACTGCATGTGAGTTGGGAGGCTATTTATTTTAGATCCCAAGAGCTCATGGTTGGTTCTTTTAGATTTTAGACAATTGTTCCATTGCATCTGCCTCTATTTATGGCTTAAAGGGTTAGTTCACCCAAAAATGAAAATTAGCCCATAAATTACTCACCCTCAAGTCATCCTAGGTGTATATAACTTTCTTCTTTCAGACGAATCCAGTATTAAAAATTGTCTTCGATCTTTCAAGCTGTTTAATGCCACTCAGCGGGTGTTGCATGCATCAGTCCAAAATAAGTTAAATAAAAAGCGCCCATCCATTAAAAAAAGTGCCTCACACGGCTCCGGGGGGTGAACAAAGGCCTCCTGTAGCGAATTGATGCGTTTTTGTAAGAAAAATATCCATATTCACTACGTAAAAATCACTTTAATGTAGCTTGCACCAACAGTTGTACACGGAAGCAGTTCCTGGCGGATGACATACGAGGTCAGCGTTGCGCATGCGCCGGTGAGTCTCGTGAAAACCAACGTTTGTTAACAGGAGCAAAGGAAGCAAAGTTTCCTTACTTTAGCAAAGGAAAACCAGTCTCCTCTTGGCTTATATCGAAATCCTCCGACATTCTTTTTTACAAATCCTCATTTTGTACTTCTAATTAGTGACCGTTGTTTTGTTTTGATCTCTCCCCTGCGCTTCTGCGTGCGTCACTTCTGAGCGGCGCATGCGCAAAGCTCACCTCATCCGTCACCCGCCCGGAGCTGCTTCCATGTAGGACTGTTGGCGCAAGCTACATTAAAGTGATTTTTACGTAGTGAATATGGATATTTTTCTTACAAAAACGCATCAATTCGCTACAGGAGGCCTTTGTTCACCCCCCGGAGCCGTGTGAGACACTTTTTTTAATGGATGGGCGCTTTTTATTTAACTTATTTTGGACTGATGCATGCAACACCCGCTGAGTGGCATTAAACAGCTTGAAAGATCAAAGACAATTTTTAATATACCTCCGACTGGATTCGTCTGAAAGAAGAAAGTCATATACACCTAGGATGATTTGAGGGTGGGTAATTTATGGGCTAATTAAAAATTTTGGGTGAACTAACCCTTTAAATAGTTAGTTATTTGTTGTAGGATGTATGTTGGACAGGTTAGTGAAGTAAGGGTGTCTAAATGGGCGGTCTTGTCACAGGTGCAAGCTGCCTCCCAACCAATCAAAGTTCCTCAGTTTGTCCGACCAACCAGACAGACAACACGGCCAGCCACTCTACCGCAGGTTTGTTTCCATAGAAACCCTTCACACCCTACTGCCTGGCTGGACTAGTGAAAACCCCTCAGTGCTGAGTGTTAGTGTGCATCTATATGTCTTGTTTTTTTTTTTCAGCTGCAGGTGTTACTTTTATGTGTGATATTTTCTTCATGCTCCACCTTGTTTTCTTGCACTGGATTTAATTTCTTTGTGCTTGCATAATGGTGACATTTGCAATCCCTGCTTTGGCTGTTGCTATTGACCCTACAGTAAATTGATCCTTAACCCTGATCTCTCTCCAGCAGTATTTTGTGCTGTTGTATTCTCTGTTGTATATGTTGTTTGTGTGCGCGTGCTATATGTATTACATATCGGTATACATGTTTGATGTCCGTAAGATAAAAAAAAAATAATAATTTAATTTTTTTGAAAGAAGTCTCTTATGCCTAACAAGGATGCATTTATTTGATCAAAAAGTGGTAAAAACATATTCATTAAAATAACTGATTTCCATATAAAAAATTTAATTTATTACTTTAATGGCAAAGCTTTAGGTAGTGTATATCTCGTAGAAATATAGTCACTTGGAAATATATTGAAAAATTGTTCATATTATATTAAATAAATAATAAAAAAGTTTTTTATAATTCAGTAATAAATGGTACTTCATCTCGTTTTATTAAACTTGATGGATGCAAACTAAAAGATAAGGATTATATCAAATAATTAAACATTATAATGAATTATAATATTATTAAATAATAGACAATAAGTAGACAACTTTTAATTATGTTGGGGTGGAGCTGGTGTTAGTGGTATTGTGGAATAGTATCTTTCTGTAAACTGAAATGTAGATGTGAAAGAGCTGCGGTGTTCAACTGCTGAGTTAAGCAACACGTTTCTGATACCTCAGTCATTTTTTCACTGCTTAGGTCCACCTTTTATTTTCTCCAGTCATTCCACAAATAATTCTTCTCTTTTTCCTGTGTGTGTGTGTATGTGAGCAGGTCAGGCCAAAACCTCCAGTGTCTTTGTCTCCAGCTGCTGGTCAGGTTTCTGTGCACACCTTACAGTCACCGGTGTTACTGAGCACTGCCCTTCCTTCGTCTGGTCACGTCCAGCAGATGCGAATCCTCAATGGCCTGCCCTGCCCCAACAGCTCTAACAACACAAGCATCCTGATCTCACCATCTACACACACACTACCATCTGCTCAGACACACACACAGCAGTTACCTCACAACAGCCCAAGCTCTGACAACACGGTGAGAGAAATGTATTTAGGTGTACTCTAAAACATTCATTAGTACATAAAACGCTTATTGTATTTTTGCAGTCATGGTGAGCAGGGCCGTATTAACCATTGGGCTAGGCGGGGCATTTATTCTATATTTGACATTTGAACGACATGTGCACGTATCTATCAGGTGATCGCTGCCCAGTAGCCTATGTTTGCATTCACCTCCACTCTTCACTTCGTTCTGGAGTAATCTGGAAATGTTCGTGCAAAGAACAATATTCTATAAGTAAAAATGTCAGCAATTCTGAGAGAGATGAGGGCTCAAAAAATGAAAAACTTCAAATACAAACAACAGAAAAAAAACCATAAGTTAGTAAACTCCCTAGCTATCAGGTTATTTTACTAAAGCTGATGATGGAGTGGAAATAACTTCAGTCAACTGTTGTTGGAACAGCAAGTGAACCGGGCACAAAACAGCGTCATCGTCTACACCAGGGATCCTCAAATCTGGCCCACGAGATCCACTTTCCTGCAGAGTTTAGCTCTAACCCTAATCAAACACACCTGAGCATGCTAATCAATGTCTTCAGGATCATTAGAAAATCACAGGTAGGTGAGTTTGATCAGGGTTGGAGCTAAACTCTGCAGCGCATTGGCCCTCCAGGGCAAGATTTGAGGAACCCTGGTCTACACGGTTAGTTTGATTATTAACTGGATGTATATTGTTTTTGTGTTTGAACAAACTATATATATATTCATTTAAGGATTGGGAGATAATCCGGTAGAAATTTATTAATTGTTTTGCTCGTCAAGATGTAGGCTAAGCTTATCATTTAAACGCGTTTTAAGCAGGTTTTTAAAAAAATGGTTTAAATTGTTAATGAACATTAAGCAGTGGGGCAGAATTCATTCAATGCATTAAGCATTGCATCTTAATGCATCGTGCATTAAGACGGTTTCAGCCTAATTCGAGCGGTGCGCACTTGCTCGTATTGTGACTGACTAAACTTTTTGCTCCTTGTGCTTAAACGTTCAAATACACAGTTATGTGTCAAAAATTTAAAGTTAAAGATAAAGCATGTGTAGTGTTAGGCTATATGAGATCCTGGATTAGCCTCTATGATGAGATCTTAAAAGGATAGTTCACCCAAAAATGAAGATAGCCTGTCATCGTATACTTAAACTCAAATTGTTCTAAACCTCTATGAATTTCTTTGCTCTCCTCAACATAGAAGATATTTTGAAAAATGATTGTAACCAGTTTCTGGTCCCCATTGACTCCAATAGTGTATTTTTTTTCATAAAGTCATGGGGGCCCAACAACTGTCTGATTACCAGTATTGTTCCAAATATATTATTTTGCATTCAACAGCAGAAGGAATCTCATACAGGTTTAGAACAACAAAATAATTTTAATTTTGGGTGAACTATTCCTCTAAAGCAGCCTAATATAGCTGCTGTTGCCATTTGTGTCGATAATGTAAATCAAACATCAGAAAGAAAATCACTTACTGTCCTTGACTGAATCACTTTTGTAAAATAAATAAGAATGAATGTATATTGAATATATACAGTGAAGACCATTCAGTCTATTTTTCAATTTTCTTTATACATCATAATATTATTCAGTGCTTTCAAGTTTTTCAAGTAGGCCAATTTCTTATGATCTTTGTTGTGTTGTAGCTTAATTTGTGACTGTTTACTTGTCTTCAGTAAGCTTACTTTTACTTAGGCTAGTATTATTTTTTGTGATATTGAAACTGGTAACAAAAATGATGAAATTTCATTGCATCAAGAATTTTGATGTGGGATAAAAATCCTATTTAAAGCTTTATATACAGTATATCACTATTGTGATGGGGGGCCCTGCAGTAAGTCATAGCCCCGGGCCCAGTGCAGTCTTAATGCGGCCCTGATGGTGAGCATAGGAGACTTCTTTCAGAAACATTTAAAACAACTTTACTGACCACAAACTGTTAAATAAACTGTAGTGTATGTATTAATAAATCTTTCTTCCTGCTTCAGATACGCGCAGTGGAATATGGGACAGAGCCAAAGACGTCATTGCTCATCTCTCCAGACACGCCTACACACACTTCACCTCCACTGTCTTTAGATGCGCCATCTTCACCTGCCCCCACCAACACACACACTCCTTCCTCCAAACATCAGGAGAGCCCTCTGGTAAAATACACTTATGTTTACATCACAGTTTATAATGACGATAATGATAAGTATGGTGATGTAAATTATGATGATGATAATGGCACTCATTCTTTCCACAGAAATTGGCCTTCATGTTGTCTCTGGGACTGGTCACGCGCAACTATTTAGAAGGTCAGGAGAAAGAAATGAGTCTGTGTGTGGGTTTGTTTGTGTGCATGCATGTGTATTGACCTTTCGTGCTTTGTTTGTGTAGAGATTCAAAGCAGGCGTCAGGAACGCAAAAGACGAACAACAGCAAATCCAATATATAGCGGAGCCATGTTTGAACCAGAGGTAACAAACACACACATTAAACAAGAGCAGTTCTGTGCAAACTGATTAGAAATATCCAATGGAATGAACCATTATTACATTTACATATCCATGCTTCTGTGTTTCAGCGGAAGAAGAGCTCAGTGTCGTATCTGAGTTCCATAAACCAGTCCAGCAGGAAGAGAGGTGAGCTTTCTGTGCCTATATTAGATACTCTGCTTGCAAAGATCCAAGTGCAGACATCACAGGTTGTTAGAGGTGTTTGCTAAGGCAAGCATCACTGTTGCTTTTGCTCATACTTTAGGAATTTAACTTCTCCTCCATTTGTGCTACTGACATTAAAGGGATAGTCACTGAAAAATGAAAATTCTGTCATTATATTGGCGCTCCAAACCTGTAAGTCCTTTGTTCATCTTCGAAACACAAACTAAGATATTTTTGATAAAATCCGAGAGCTTTCTGACCCTCCATAGACAGCGATGTAATTACCACATTCAAGGCCCAGAAGGGTAGTAATGACATTGTTAAAATAGTCCATGTGACATCAGTGGTTCAACCGTAATTTTATGAAGCTACGAGAATAATTTTTGTGCAAAGAAAACAAAAAAAAAGTATTTATTCAACAATTTCTTCTCTTCCATGTCAAACTTAGACGCACATTCACAACAGTATTACGATGCATTAATGACAGAATTTTTGGGTGAACTATCCCTTTAAAGTCACGATTCAACAGATGGAGCAACAAATCTTTTTTTCCTTATTGTAACACATATCCAAGTATAATGGATTATTGAAAATAAAAAAAGCGGAGACTTGGTTCTATGCATTGGTTGTTGATTGGATTGGAGGCAGATCTGATTGAGGGTTTGCAGTAGATTGTAATAAAGGGGTGGAGTTTAAGCAAAAGAGGTCTGACCTTTTTGTCTGTTGAGACTGTTTGATTATGTACTGTGCTTACAGGCACTCTGCTGTGGAGTGGCCCTGGAGGGTATGTGTGAGGCAGAAAGAAATGACCCAGCAGTGTTAAGTGGGATAATGACTGTCTTCAGGCTGCTGTAAAAGTGTATACATTAGTAAAAGACTCAGACAATGTTCACAGCCTACTTTATAGATTTACAATTAGGCGTGTTGTGCACCTCCTAAAGGTGCGACAATCCTGCATCATTAGTGTACCATTAGTACTTGTATTGGACAGACTTGAGTACAAAAACTCAAAACGCAACATTACAGTTGGCCAAAATGATCTTTTGATACTTTTGATTTGGCCAGTCTGAAATGTCCACCCAGAAATGAAAGTAGCCATTATTTACGTACCCTTATCATGTTGTTCCAAACATGTATGACTTTCTTTCTTCTGTGGAACACAAAGATATTTTGAAGTAGGGATGTAACGATTACCGATTCGACGATAAATCATGATAAAATTCCCCACGGTTAGTATTACCGTTTCATCTTTTAATTATCATTAAAACCGTATTAGATTACCACGATTGGAACAACTCGCTATAAATAAATACTGTCCAGCATAAAGCACAGTTTTAAGCAACAGTCTCACATGCGCACAGCATGCAGAGTAGTTTAGTTTTGAGTGAAAACGGGGTGGAAAAGCTGGGAGGTTTTAAAAGAATTATACAAATGAATATATGAATGAATTATATGAATGTACCTCTGAAGGTTCTGACTGTCTTCAGAAACGATTCGATGGCATTTTGTTTTCATTATCGCTCCATGTAATACCTAAAGGAAGTGTTCTTAATCGCATTACTGCTTTGTCTATGGAGGTTACAGGAAACAGCTCTAATTCAGCTTTTCCATCAGCGCCACCTGCTGTCAGCGAGTGGATTTACAGACACCTATATTTACATTCAGTCTGTGTGCAGTTTCTGTCTGGCCAAAAACTGACCGAATTTGCATGCCCTGCTGTAAATTTTGACCGGTTGATGAAAAACAAGCTTATGTGGATTCTACACATTTAAACAATTCAGATAAGTTATCTAGAATTATTTATGGAGCAGATAAAATACATATAATCATTTATCATTTTAACATATCTTTTCTTTATTTAAAGGCTGAAATGTGAGGTTTACCTTTTTATTAAACTTTTTCAAAGCTTTATTTGAACATTAGATATTTCAACATGCTCTTAAACTGTTGTCAGTCAAGGTGTCATTTAAAATCTGAACATCATTGGTAATGTTATTGTTTTAGTGATTATGCAAACAAAAAGTCATTTTATTTGTAGTTTTTTTTATTTTTAAATATAAAACTTGGTGAAGTGATTTATGTGTTGGTACTTTTTGAACATCTCCAGCACATTTGAACAATACCGTGATAATACTGATAACCGTGATCATTTCGGTCACTATAATCGTGATAAGAAATTTTCATACCGTTACATCCCTATTTTGAAGAATTTTTCAGTTGTTTTTGTCCATATAATGGAAAGTCAGAGATGTCTTAAACAGCATTGGACCTCCTGACTTTCAATGTGTGGACCGAAAAAACTGAGACATTCTTCAAAATGTCTTCTTTTAACACGATGGTGAGTAAATGATGACGTGATGAGTTTTCATCTTATGGTAAACTATCCCTGTAACTTACATCCTGAAAGAACCGAAGCTGTAAGTGGCTTGAGACAAATATCTGTCAGAAAGTGAAGTATGCGAGTATTAATGTGATCAAAGACAGAATCAGAATAGCTTGCCAAATTTATGCTTCTTGATTTTTTTGGATTAAACAGTTCCTGTCTCAGTTAATTTATTTGTTTGAAGGCTGGTTAAAAGCCTCCTTCTCCAGTAACTTTTCTGTGTTTGTTGAGAAGCTAAAGGAAATATTTCTGTTTATAGATTTCTAACACATTTGGGACAAAGTCTTCTGCCAAGTCATATTATCAGCTATATTGTTTAGTTGTATTTAGATCTTGACTTGTGTCTATGTGTAAAATGATTAGAGCTCACTTAAAAAAAAAAATAATAATTATATGATGTTGAAACTTTGCTACCCTGTGTAATGTAATAGTGCTTTTAGTACTTGTTGATAAAGGACATCCATACTTGTTCTGTTAATACCCAGTGCACACATAAATGTGCAAATCTGTTGATATATGATGCTGCATATTCACTTAAAGGCTCGTCTTAACATTTGACAGCATCTGTGTTAGCTGTAGATGAAAATAAGCTTCTTGATGCCTGATAAGCTTCTTTGAATCATTGCCCTCTGATCCTTCTTTGTTATTGGCATTTCTTATCCCCATCTGCCTTTATCAGCTGATTTGAGGCCAGCTTTTGCAGAATGTGTTGTTACCCAGCATGCAATGCTTCCTTTTGTGATCTAACGTTGCTCTCTCCCTCCCAAACTCCATCACACCACCCCCACCCACTCCTTCCTGCTACCCTAGCCAATGAGGACAGCTTGTCAGAGGTATGCTACACCAATGTTATGTCTTCCTTTTCCTTTTCTTTTCTTTTGTGTTTTGTGTTTTGTTTGTCCTTTGTTTCATCTCACCCAGGTCGCCTTTCTAAAAACTGCAGTATTGTGGAGCGGGGGCCCCTCCCCCCAACCACCAGCAGCCATCATTCTTCCTCCCCAGACCTACAGCGGCCCACCGCGGGCAGCCCATTCTCCCCTGCCCTTTCACTCACCCTTCCATCACATTCATCCTCACCCAGCCCCAGCTCAGCAGGGGATGTAAGTAGCTGTGATAGTCCACTACAGTTACTGAGACACAATTCAGACTTCCCTAGCCCACTGTTCACCGTGCTCACCAGCGACACATAGTGATATCGGAGGTGAATTAAGAGTCTCAGGTAACTGAGAGATTCATTGCCATTCACTCTCACACTCGTAACTCATTTCATTTTTTGTACCATGTCATGTTTCACTTTTGTCACTGGTCTTACAAAGTAGACAGTCTGTATAGAGTTCTCTTAACTCTTTCAGGTTACATTCGTTCAATATAGAGGCTTTTAATATTAATGGCATTGTAATTTCAGAGCAAAATTGGACAAAAATTGAGGACAAAGAGGCTGCTATTTTACTCCGATCAACCAGAAATGCTCTATTTAAAAACTAGTGCAGATTAGATTAGAATAGAGACTGTAAGTATGAGGTTTTGATTGACAAGTGAGTATTTAGTGGCTGCTGTAGGCAGCATCTTGTATGCGATACTTGCTCATCTGGGTGTCACGCAGCTCTGCCTAAAATGCCAAAACCAGAGGCATGAGCCCACAATTCTGCTGCTTAAGACATCTGAAGTAGGGAGAAATTGATGCAGGACCTAATATTTATTCCAAATACTGAAAAACTGAAATTTACATCAAGACTGCTCAAAACTTTGTAAGTTTAGATAGCCTCATTTGTTTTCACTACGATTAATTCATTTTCACATTTATTTTGAGTGTTTGTTTTTGTGTGTATATTGCTTTGAATGCAGCCTGTGAACAGTTGTGTATTTCAGTACCATTCAGTTACATGTTTTCTTCAGATTCTGCAGAAGGAAGATGCCATTGAGTGGCCAGGGACTCTTGCTATTGTCCATTCCTACATCTCCTATAAAGCAGGTTAGGAGTTTCACATATAATTAATGCTTGAACAGTGAACCTGCAATGACAGAATGGTGATGTAAGATTACTTAAAACTATATTTAGAGTTTAAATTGGAACAAAGTCTCTTGTTACGAGTTTCCTATGAAATGCATCAGGATCTTTGGAAAAACTGACTTAATTCTTCAAGTCATAATCCAAACCAACCAGCGCTGAGATGAACCATGATATTGCACACTTTGAGAAAAGCAGAAATAGTATATGACAATCAGGAGGAAATCTTTTTATGAACTACATGAACTGCAATCTTTTGAAGCATTGCAAATGATGTAATCAAATAATAACCGTGGTACAATATACCACTTTAGATGGCAGTGTATTTAGCCTAAATGACCATTTGTTAGTTCAAAGTTTGAAATTATATTGACCCAAGGCCTGTCCACAGTCAAAACCTATTAGAATGTTTGGCATGCAAACTCGGTCCAATTTTCATATGCGATTTGTATGTGCAGACCATGCAAAACAAAATGGCAGATGAAAATGCAATTTCACACTCTGACAGTAGATAGCACTTAAGGAAAAGCTGACATACAGCGAGAGACACGGACAGAAGTATAATATGCTATTTGCTTATCAAGATTTGACTTTTTTTTTTATTCCTGTTTTTCTTCGTATTTGATTTGCTTTTACTATCATACCTCCCTATAATTATGTTCAAAATGTTGCAAATAAAACAACAAACACAGGTGTTGTAGAAAGTAGCCTACATGTAATATAAAGCTTTGCTTGTAAATATGAACAAACTTTTCAATAGCTGACTGATTTTGAATTGTAATATTGGCCACCAGTTGGTCATACCATTTACAGTTGAGTAATTATGCCAGAAAACCCAGCTTTTTCAAGAACATGCATGGAACGAGAAAAAACATAAGTGTCTCAAATGCAAATGCCCAGTTCAGTTGAATGTTAAAGTTAACCCTCTTCAACTGTAAACTATAGCAACAGTTTGTAATTTTCAATTTAAATTTTTAATATTAGATATTAATTCTTAATGATACGGTACTACATTAATATTATGTCGTATCATTAAGAATTAACATTATCTGACAATGAACATGAGCATATTTATAAATGAACATCAACCAAGATGGACAAATGTGTGAAAAAGATCCCCATCCCCAATCCCCCTGACTGTGCCGACGGTTGGCTCCAACAGAAGCCTCCACAATTGCTTAATAACCTCTGCTCTCATGGTAGATCTGTTTCAAAAAGGGTTCTACAGAATTGTTAAAAATCAAGTTCTCTGTGGGGAAGATGAATGGGATTTTTACTTCCAGAACCCTACTTTTGCGTTCAGTTGAGATTTAAACATACACTAATTTCCCTACAGCTAAAGAGGGAGAGAAAGATCGTCTGAAGAGATGGAGCACAGAGCTGCGGCAGGAGAGAGAGACACTGGAGCACAGAATCGGACAACTCAGCAACTCTATAACAGTGAGAGAATTCTTAAGCTCACATCCACTTTTGATCTGTGCCATGAGTCATACCACTGAAATTACAAATCTAACTGATGCATTCATTTATTATCCCATACCTCCAGAAGCCACTATTCCATAACTATATAATGATGAGATTTTGGTTGCATGATTCAGCAGCACTGTGTCCACTCTCCCTGCACAGAGATGTATGGACAGCAAGAACAGCGTACTGGCCCAGCAGAGAGAGATGGAGGCTTCGCTTGAGAAAATGAGAGGGCTGGTGCATCTGATCAAAGGGATCCAGTTGTCTCCCTTCATCTGCCCTGGGGCCATGGCTAACGGAGAAACCTCCCACAATGGAGCTTCCAAACCCAGCAGCTCCAGTGCGGTCACCACAGACACAAACAACAACACAAATGCCCCAACAAGCTCCTCAGAAGCTACGGTGATAATTAGCACCCTCACAAACATGAGCGATACCTTAAAGCAGATCGCCACGAATAACAACCCAGAGGCTGCATGTGCAAAGAGCGATGAGTGCAGTGAGGAGAGCGCACAAATGAACAGCACGTCCAGAATCAAGAGCGAACCCACAAATGCAAACGCTGTAGTCTTCAGCAATAGCAGCAGCAACCAGGCGGTTCTCAGTACCAACGGAACTGTGTCCACAGGGGAGGAGAATACAAAAAAACACAAAAACAACAGCGACCTCAGTGTCATCCCACAGGCCCTCCTCGGCTCAATCGTACCCCTTACAGAAGTGACAGAGGGGGTGAAATAGCATTGACTACCCCGCCACAGTTGGGGCCTAAAGCGTGCCAGTTAACAGTGTTGTTGTTTCGTGTTGTCGTTTCATCTCTAGTATCTATGAGGGAAAGAAAATCCATAGTGCCATTTACTACATGCAGGAAGAAGGTTCCTAAAGTACCAGCAATGTGTATCCTCACGTATGCACACCGAAAAGATTTCTACAAAGAATAATGATATAGAAAAGAGTAATAAAATTTAAAGATATCACACCATTGTGTGCCTGATACAGTTGCCATAGCACCTCTGAGTGGGAAAGCTTCTGAAGGCTGGATCGGGGTGAAGATCTCGTCCTGCTAGATGAGTAGTGCAGCTTCCTATCAGGTCCTGTAGCTCTGATCTAAGACATAAGATATGACGTGTTGAGGAGTTCAGCGTCCGTTTTGTCTGTGAAACACAACCGAGGTGCAGTTGTTTCGTCTTGTTTTCAGTTGTTGTGTCTCCAGGACGGAACTTGGAGCGCAAACCCAGGTTCTTTATCACACACTGACAGAAATGCAGGTCTTCCAGGCGTTCTTCTGGAGGTTTAACTAGTATCATTTGCATTTGTCTATTTTGTGGTGTTTTTAAAAACCGGAACATTTCTGTAAATATATTTAGCTATTTTTTACACATGACCTTATTTATAATTTTCTTCTTTTCTTACAAAAATATTCCGTAGTTCTGTTCTGCCAAATAATCGATGCCACAGGGAACTCTTCTTTTACGTTATTCTGAACATTAAATAGATATTTAAGAGTAGTAGAATAGTATTTGTAGTGTCAGTCCTGAAGTGTCTGAAAATTAATTCTGACCATGCCTTATCTACTGAACAGATGTGATTTACTGAGTGCACGGTTCAGGCGCTGTCACAGAAGGGAATGATCTGAGCTGTCTCTTACATTGCTCTCGCGCCATTTCCACATCCAGAGGATTTTTTTGTTTACCCAGACTGTAGCAGGGGTCTCATGCCTTGTCCAACGACTTGGGAGGAATCGTGCAGTCAGAAATATCCCATGAAACTGCTATGCCAGTAACGTTATGCTTGTGGGCCAATTTAAGGGCTTCTGTTCTGTATCGTTTTAACACACTTTACTACACTGTTCACTGTAAACCTGTCCAAAAGCACAACACGGCAGACGTTATACGTGCCTAGCGCAACTACTTCTACCAGTGTCTCCTAGGGGCTCTTCTGTTATCGCTTTATTTACCATATCGGCGCTCTCTCACCACTGTGTATTTCACAGTGTGTGACTGCACACGAACAAGCACAGACAAACACACCAGAGCAGTTTCTAACACCTGAGATACAGCCGCGGTAGCTTGAACACTGTATCATGTGCCAAGATGACACTTACATAGTGTATAAAAAAAGCACAAGAAATAATCCAGAAACACGGTGGTGTCAAACACGCTTTTGATAAAAGACAGACATATCTAGTGTTTATATCTTCATTTCAGGTTTGTCAGTGTTTTCAATGCTAAACATGCAGCTCTGGCCTGCTGTAGCCTCTGTGTATTGGTTGCCTTAAGTTCTATAGACTATGTTAGGCTGTTTCAGCGTAGTGTCGGTGTCCTAGTGTCAGTTGTCAGCAAAACAAGTGCGTATTTTTCCCTTTTCGGAAACAACCTACTTTATCATCTAGTGTGTGATCATTCAGGTTGTGTTAGTGAGGACAGTGCCTGTGCTGCCTATAGTGAATCTGACCTCTACACATAAGAATACACTCTAAAGTGCTCAAGTCTTATATCAAACACGAAATAAATTGCTGGTATATTCGTTCACCTTTTTATGAAACGGTTTATGAAAAACTTTACTTTTAGTTAAAGGATTCCATCCCAGTCTGATGATCCTCATATCGCATCTGCGTTTTCAAAAGTTTTCAACAATCACAGAAGTATTCACACATTTTGTCTGATAGAAGCTAATACTAAAACATATTTCATCACAATTGCGAAAATTCCAAAGTGACATGTAGAGAAGCTGCGTTCTGTCTGGTGGTTTAATGGTATGTCTGGTTTTCTGGTGTATTGGAAAAAAAGAAAGAAAAGGGAAGAGAGCCCTTACATAAATGCTCATCAGATGTGACATTAGCAAATGTCATCTCTCGTCCTTTAGGGCCAAGAATCCTGAGGCCAGCTGTGGTTAGTAGAACTGACAGATGTTCTCTGATGAGATAGATGAGAATCTACTGTGTCTCCTCATTCATGTTCCTTACACATGAGAATTGGGTATTGTGTCCTGAAGTGTGAAATCTGATCTCCTCAGATATTAATAGTGTTTACCGAGAGCTCAGGCTTTTGTTCACGTTTTCAAGATACGCATAGTTATGAAGATTCGCATTCTTACACCTCATGCTGTTACCTCATTCAGGTTGATGAAACCCTAAAGAAAAATCAAGGATAGATTATTGCAACGTGAAAATATCAGTGCTTAATCTAATGTCCTTAACTATAAATTGAGAACACAATTTACATCGATTTGTTGTATAAAAAGTGTCTAGATTCTTTCATTATAGTTTTTAAAAGGGATGCGTATTGCTTTTGTTTCATTTTACTTTTCTACATTTTGTTTCTTAATCTTGTGTGTTGCCTGATGTCTGTTTACCTTTTCTCATAGAAGTCCATGTGTAAGTTATTTAAATATATAACTTAATGAATTCTTTCTGTTGAGGAGGCTGGATATTACTGGAGCATTTGATCAATTTGTATTTATTTATTTTTACCATTTTTGCTAAATAAAACTAAATTAAGTAGTCTTTTTTTCTCTCTAGATCTGTTTTACATTGAGGCAGCAAATGGATATTAACACTTCCGTACTAATGAACATTTAACCAATACATGCACAATTAATAATACAAAGTTTAGCATTATGATACACTGTCCTGTAACCCATTTTGGAAACATTTTACTCCACAAAGTGGATTGTGCACAAAGCCAGAATGTGAGTCTAAAAACAGCTGTAAAATAGAAAAACACCATATAATTGGTTGTTCCCTCATGACATTTCAATCTCATAGAGGCACGTGAGAATGAAATTGGATCAAAAGAGCATCAAAATACCAAGTCAGAAGACAGATCATCTGCCATTTTAAGCATGACTTAATCATACTAGACAAGCGCAGTCTATCAAAATAAATGTGGTGCCTATAAATAAGCATTTATGACTTCTCATTTTAAATACAGAATGAATGTTGCACTGGAATGACATCATTTACAGTGAAATTGATGCAAAAGAAGAGGTATACTGCTCTCAAGTGGTCAAATGGATCCATTTTAAATGATGAAATACTTTATAGTAAAACGGTTTAATGCACAGAGAGGTTGGCTTACTGTAGAATCTCAACTTTGTTCTGTTTGTTGGTCCAGCATGTCAGCTTCTGGCACATTCAGTTGCAAAAGTTTGAGGTGAGACTACCTGTTTGTCCAAACAATGAAAGGGAATGTTTTAAGGGAGCCAGTGCACCTTTAAAAACACTGCTTTTTGCTGCTTTATGCTGCCTGTCATACACGCATAACAATGTCCATGACACTATTTGTAAATCCATAAGGCACTTGTTGTTCTCTGAAAGGTTGTTATGCCAGGATACAGCACTACTGTAGTCATGTCTGAACTGAGTTTACTCTTCCTGGTCACCACTGCATGGTTTTACTCCGCGTGAGCTTGTTTTTGAGGGCATGTCTCATCTGCAGCATCCGTGAGCGCTTGTCCATAGCCAGCAGGTGGCGCTGAAACTCCTGACGCACTTCACGCACCAGCTGCCCGAACGCGGCCTCCACTGCTGAAGCGTCCTCTGCCACAGACAGCTCAAAGAAACTGCACCTACACAACCAGTGAAACCCTGACTTTAACACACAGCAACGCCTTCAAATTCAAAATATTAAGTGATTGAAATTGAAAATCATCTCAGTGCCTTCAAAATTTGACAGGTAGTGAAGTGAATAAATCACAATTTTTGATAAAGATGGATAATAATAATAATAATACAATTAGGACAAAATCCTGTAGTAAATAAATAGTTTTTTTAATTTTTGAAATTTTGAGTAATTAAATATGCAGTGGTGGTCAAAATTATTAAGAAAAAAAGGTTTCAAGTCAGTTATTTCTATCTTTTGCTGTAGTGTTCCAGGAGGAAATATCAGTTTACGTTTTCAAGCATTAATTTTGCCTTTAATTGTAATGATCCAGTGAGATTTTTGTTTGCACAAAGAGTCTGACAGCAGCCAGTGCTCCACACAGAGATCTGATCTGATCATCATCAGTCCGTCTGAAAAAACATTGAAGAAACGGAACAAACTGAGACAGTCTCAATCCAGAAGAACTGTGGCAACGTCTCCAAGATGCTTCAAGAGACCTCCCTGCAAAGCTACAGTACTGTGAAAAGTTTTAGGCACTTGTGTAAAAATGCTGTAAAAAGGATGCTGTCAAAAATAATGTCATAAATTGATTTTTTTTTATTAATTAACTTCTATTAACTAAATTAAATCAACATTTGGTGTGACCATCCTTTGCCAAAGAATTCAATTATTTTATTGGAAAAACAATATTCCAAAAACCACACCCTACTGGGTGAATTTGACCCCCATTTATGCATTCTAGGGTTAAACGCTTCTGTTAAATGAACCTATATTTGTATTTATTTCATACTATCACTTATAGCTGTGGAGTTATCAATAAAAGCAAAGCGTACTGACCTCAGGTTTGAGGCTAAAGCCTGTCCCTCATCTGTCCTCACCACACGGCCGTTCTCCATGTCACATTTGTTGGCAACGATGACTGTTGGAATACCTGGAAGACACATACACACACAGACACAGAATGATGTAATGGATGCTGTGTCTCTGAAGAAGAACAGACTGCCATTAAAATGACAGTACCTGGAGATGGATGGCATAATAAAAGAGTGCAGTGTTGTGATACTTTCTCTTTCCACATATCTATCTGTCATTTACAATCTTACAATCACAGGCTGCATTGTACTATATTAAGAGTTCATGCCTGAGGTGAAATCTCTGAACTGAGACCAATTAAGGCAGGCTGAGTCACACTGATGGATAACAGCGCTATTCGCTAGTTGGAGGGGCCATATACATAAACATGACTACTCGCAGTAGCACTAATAGCAGAACAGTCTGATCGAGTCTTAGCCTTACCAAGCGTTTGTTTAACGTGGTCAATCAGTCTCTTCAGACGCGACACAGCCTCAAAACTGCTGCGATCCGTCACAGAGTACATAATGAGAAACCCATCACCCCATTTAATGGAACTCTCCAGAGAGGACGCCGCAGGACCTACACATTCCTAAAAACAAACAGATCTGTGAGGATAGACATGATGCACATCTGGACTTTCAAAGATCTGATTCTTAAAGCAATTCTGGAGCACAAGGGATGTAAAATGAAATCCACACAACCAAAACCTCCTGCTTCTCAAATGCAGTCGTTCTTAATCATGGTCCTCGAGTCACAGCACTGCACATTTTGGATGTCTCCATTATTTAAAAGCATAGTTTTCCCAAAAATGAAACCCCACTGACTTTTATGGTATATAGACAAAAATAGCCATACAATGTTTCAATGTGCTGACAGAGATTCTTTGTACTCAGCAGAGGAAAGAAAGCCATACAGGTTTGGAACGGCATGACGATGACAGAATTTTCATTTTTGGGTGAGCTATCCTTTTAACACACCTGATTTATATCATCAGCGCATTAGTACAGGCTCCAAGACCTACACTGGGTGTATCAAAGTCATCCAAAACATCAGAACTGCTATTCTGCATTCACACAGATGGTAAAGCTTCAGCCTAATCCTATGAATTAACAAGTGCTGCTCTACTGTGTAACATAATCAATGGCAGGCGGGCTGTTAAAGCCACTCCACCAGCCTGAGATTCAGCACAGTAGACATGAAAGGAATGGAATGGTTCAGAGAGTCCTGTGTCTCATCAGCCGTTTGGCAAGGCAAGATCATCCTGCTGTCTTTCTTTGAGTCTGTGGATAACTATGAGTGTGAAACAGCACGGCGGCAGATGCACAGCGACAAAAACATGAGAGCCAAAATACAACACAACAACAGGCTGATGATACACAGGGCAACTTTTTTGAGCAATGTTGCATGGGCACTTTGCCATTGAGAATGGGTAACAAATTTCTATCTGGATATTTTAGATCGGTTGTGGGCCCTGTGTCTCACCTGGTTGCCCGTTGACAGCAATATTTCCCAAAGTTGCCCTGTTTATCATCAGCCTAAGATCTCGGCACTCTGTACCTTATTAACAGTGTCTAAAATCTCCAACTCAATCGCCTCCTTGTCCACAATTTTCTGACATCTGTAGGTGACCTCTAAGAGACACAAAAAGTATATGGCATGTCATATGACGCAGATTACTTGTCTACAATGCATTTGCACAAATGTTTAGAGCATGAAAACAGCAGTTTTGTTTGTATTTCATTTGTGTTACCCCTTTTATGTTCATACTCTCCAATGAAACGTCTGGTGATAAATCTGACACACAGAGCTGGAGTTCAAAAGAGAAAAACAGACAAGTTAGAGTCATCGAGACCCAACAATAGTCATTAAACCTCCCAGAAAACACAGCAGTGTTACCTGTCTTCCCACAGTTATCTCTTCCCAGCACCACGAGCTTCGCCCTCAACATCTTCCGTACAGACTCTGACATGATCACTGTGGATAATATTATATCTGAATATAATAATAACAGTCTTAGAGGTAGGCCAAATAAAAGACCGCAGCTACTGTTTGTAACAGGTGCTTTTTCTCGGGTTACGCTTGACTGCACTTCCGCTACGATAAAGATGATAGATAAATGCGGCAGTGCAGTGATGCAACTCTGAGCATAATACAAAGTTAAAATACAAGGCACTGTGTTAAAAAACGAAACAAAGTTCCCCAGAAATACTTACTTTGCTCCCCAAAGTTGTTAAAAATGCGAACAGTGCTTGACTCTATATCACTGTGTTCCAGTGGAGACTCGTGGAGTTCATATGCTGCAGACTCTGCTGCTCCTGCGCTCTCCGTCTGTCTGCTTTTAGTAATGACATTAGCTTTAGCGCGACACACACACACACACACACACACACATGTTGTGTTTCCATGGTTTATGGGGACATTCCATAGGCGTAATGGTTTTTATACTGTACAAACTGTATGTGCTATTGCCCTACACCAACCCTACCCCTAAACCTGCCCCTTACAGGAAACTTTGTGCATTTTTACTTTCTCAAAAAAACGAATTCTGTATGATTTATAAGCTTGTTTCCTCATGGGGACCTCAAAAATGTCCCCACAAGGTCAAAATGTACTGGTATTACTATCCTTGTGGGGACATTTGGTCCCCATAACGTGATGAATACCAGGGGCACACACACACACACACACACTGCGGACAGCACGTCATTGTTCAGCGTGGTCTCTCTTCTTATTACACACATTCATAACCGGGGCTCGACTGCGAGACTCATTAAACGACCAGCTGATTTATCGCCTTTGACAGTCGAGCCTCCGGAGCAGCAGAGACCACTAGCTCTTTCCGCCAACAAAACCATTCATTAACCCGGGCTAAAATTAAAGCTTTATATTTTTGCCCTGTTATATCTTTTACTCAGATTACAGAGCACCACCCTGTTGAAAAAAACAGCATATGCTGGTTAAATATGTTTTGACGCTGGGCTGGTTTAAAGTGGTCCTTTGCTGGTTTATGCTGGTCCTTTTGCTGGTTTATGCTGGTCCTTTGCCAGCACATGACCAGCAAAGGACCAGCTTAAACCACCAAAGGACCAGCTTAAACCAGCATCCCAGCGTCAAAACATACTTAACCAGCATATGCTGGTTTTTTCAACAGGGCAGTAGAGACCTGTGAGAAAGAAACTCCTAGTAGGTATAAGCATTATTGATGATCAGTGTTGTGCAAGTTACTTCCAAACTGTAATACATTATGGATTACTTGTTACTGTTATTTAAAAGTAATTCCTTACCTTACAACACTACTGTCTCAGAACTGTAATGCGTTACATGACTCCTGTATTACTTTTGAGTTACTTTCACCAAAATAACTACAGAAGTAGAACTTAACATTCTAAAATGACAAAATGTACTGCAGAGCATTTTATATCCAGTAGAGGATATATGGTGTAGCATAATGACTGTGGGCTGTCCAGGCTACTAACAATATAGCTATAATTGGCCAAGTGAAGGCTCAAGACAATGCAAGAAAGGATGACAGCCAGAATCGCAAACGATACAAGTCTGTTAAAAGTATGGTAGAGGTAAAGTGATTATCTGGCAATATCTGTGAATAGCTTGGGTCTATTCATATTAGACACAACAGGACTATATGTAAACTCTAATGCCATGACAAGAATTAGTCTTTATTTACAAACTTAGACACCACACGCGGCTATTGACTGACCACGAACAGGAAATAGAACTTACTTGCGGCATTTTTGATTCGTTAATATCTCGCAGTCTTGCTGTTTTTTTATTTTCTTTGAACAATTAAATTTTAGGCTAAACGTGCGTTGTAACGCATGCGTTACTGAACATGTACCGAGTAAAATATTACTGAAAACGAATTAGTAATGCCTTACACTACTGCTTTACAGCAAAAAGTAATCAGTTATTGTAATGCATTACTTTTGTTACGCGTTACTCCCAACACTGCTGATGATATGAACTAAACAAAATTAACAAATGTGAAAGTTCATAAATAGCAAGAGGTTTGGCATGTTTGGAAAGTCAGTTGTTCCTGTTGAATTCAAGTTTTGAAACAAATAATGCACTTGGCAGAGATATAAACAGACACATCTACTGTTGAGGTGTAATTTATTGTTTAAATAATTTTACAGGTCTATCAGTTTTCAGTAAAATACTGTATAAAAAACAACTAAATTAAAATGATAGTAACTTGTAATAAAAGACCCTGTCCATTTTCATATCTCATTCCTAAAGTATTTGAAAACACTAATTTAAAAATAAACTCTAGCTTTGCAGTTTTTGTGTTCACGGGACCAATAAAAAGTGACAAACATCACATTCATAAAGGGATAATTCACCCATCATCATTCACTTAGTCATTCTAAAACCTTGACTTTCTTTTTTCTGTGGAACATTAAGCAGATATTTTGAGAAAAATCTCATCGTTTTTATTTAATCATTTATTTACTTACTTGCTTTACGATGAAATTGCTGGTGACCAAAATATGATCTTTTATTTTCCACAGAAGAAATATAGTCTTGTGAGTTTGGAACAACCTGAGCTTGAGTAGGCTAAATTATGAAATTATGATTAGCTCAGAATAGTTTTTTTTTATATATATTCCTTAACAAAATGTTAGCATACAGGAAGACAATAGCATGTGTATCTTTAAAAAAAAGTAAATGTTGAATTCCGTATTCCATCTTAGCTGAAACGATTTTGGATGTGTTCCTGTCGAACTCTGAGAGCCTCTGGGTCGACAGTGTCAGTGGGATCAATATCCTCCCGATTGGTCTGTGGCCTCAGTCCTCTCAAAAGTCCAGGCATCAAGGCCAGACTGGAGAGAAATGTTATGTAGCACACAGCAGGCCTGGATGATATGTGAGCATTTCTCTGGGGAATACTGCAGGTAACCTTTTGCCCCATCCAGGCACCGGAAACGTGTCTGAATGGCTCTGAATGTGCGGTCCACAATCTCGTGTGTCGTTGTGTGAGCCAGGTTATAGCGGTAGTCAGCAGGGGACTCCGGATCCTGTACTGGAGTCATCAGCCACTTTTTTAGAGGGTAACGATTGTCACCTGGAGGCGAAAGACAGAAAACATATTGAAATTTTCACAGGATTCTTTGGCAATGTTAAGAAAAGTCACTACGGCAACCAAACTCTGTGTCTCACCTAAAAGCCAACCTTCGTCATTGTCTTGCTCTTCAAACAGCTTTGCCACACTGGATTGCTTAAAGACAGTTCTATCTGTCAGACTACCTGGCCAATGTGTCTCAGTGCTCAGCAGCAGTTCTCTGGCATCGCATACTAATTGGCAATTGATTGAGTGAAATCCTTTTTTATTTACATAGGAAGAGTCATCTGCATTGGGAGCTTTAATGGCTATATGCGCACAGTCCACTACTCCCAAGACATTAGGAATTTCTGCTATTCGGTTAAACTCCTCTTTAGACTGCTGCCTGGTGGCCTCATCCCTAGTGAAGCCGATAAACTCTGGTGCTTTCTCAATCAGAGCTTTAGTGACGTTAGAAACACAATGGCTCATGGAGGCCTGGCTGATGCCGATCGCATCTCCCATCTTGCTCTGGAAGGACCCGGTTGAGTAGAATCCCAGGGCTGCGAGTATCTGAACATCTGAGCTGATGGCTCGGGATCTGTGTCCGTCTCAATAAGCTGTCCATTAGCAGTTCCACTAGCTAATAAATTAACTCACGTGGGAAGCCGAATGTTGTCAGCAGAAATTCAGCCGTCACTGTCTCGATATTAAATCGATCAAGTGTTTTGTGCCCCCGGCCATGCAGCAACAGAGATTGCCATTCCACATACTCCGGAGGACCTGTGGGCAAATGGCACATGTAAATGTCAGCTAGTGTCATGTAATGCCATGTCAATAACTAAAACATGATACATCCAAATTTTCACATTTCTGGGCTTCTCAGAAGCAGAAGTCATCATAGTTGGGTAAACTTATATAGTGGTGGATGAAAATTATAGGGGTGTGCCGGTACGAGTATCGGTACCGAACGGTTCACGAGGCAAATTCCAAATGGAAGTGATCATCCCTATCCCCTTGGAGTGGGGACTTTGGAGTGAGCAGGGCACGTGCATGCCATTATATAGTCATTTGGAATGCACTTGGCAAAGGGAACATGCCAGCTGAAGTTGTCACGGGAACATGCCAGCTGAAGAAAATTAGGAAATTATGTCGTTCCCTTTGCCAAGTGCATTCCAAACGACTACATAATGGCACGCACGTGCCCTGCTCACTTTAAAGTCCCCACTCCAAGGTAGGGCTTGGCGGTATATCGAGTTTGTACGATATATCGATATTTTCTTTATAAGCGATTCGATATGAGGCAATACCGTTTATATGGTTTACAGCAGTTTGATATGAGCGCATCTGAAAATATAGTGGAGGACACAGACTGAGCTGCTGCGGAGAAAGTGCATAATCCAGTTTGTTCTAAACATGTGACAAGCTTCATATTAAGGCCTTTAAAACTAGTAAGACATAGGTTATAGTTTCGTTTGGCATATTAGTTTAATTAAGCGGTTCGGCCCATCAGATGCTCTGACAGAAAGGCTGTGTGTGCTGCTGACAGAGACAGGCTACTCGCGCTGTTTAATGTGTTTGAGATGTGCTGTCTTCCTGAAAGCATAACTTACATTTCACAGGTATATTATCCATCTGTAAATGTTAGAAAGCCATGGAAATATTTCCATTTTTTCTGTCAAACTGACACTGACAGAGCTCAATTAAATAGCAATAATTCTGGCTAAAATATACATTTTGCTGAAATATTTGTAGTTGGACAATAAACATGACATGTAGAATTTGAAACATTCAAGTAAGTCTATTTTTATGATAGCACTGACTGACTGTAATAGGGTAATCAAAATAGCCTAACACAACTCTGTGCTTTTGTTCTCATTTCATTTCATTTTTAGTTTAGTGAATTTAACTTCTGCTTTAAAAGCCTTATTTTTGTTTTTAGATTGCAATGTTAGAATGAAATGTGAT